ATAACAAAAAACTGAGAATAAAATCTGCACAGTATCCCTATTGAGGCAAACTAAGAGCAACTATTTTATTTCACATGGTGAGCGATATGATTATCGTCCAGACATGTTTATCATGCATGATCATGGCTCTGTTACAGATGTTCAGAGCACATTAATGTCAAAAGATTAAGATTTACCTCAGGAGGAACCTGCCTGCTCTTCCTCCCCTGGAGATCTGCTCCACTATTGTGGACACAGCTGAGGCTTTCATCTTCCTGGGATCACCATGGGACCAGATCATCTCCCACCTAATCAACATGACTCAGCAGCAGATGCTCTCCTGCGAATCAGAAACGAAAGACCAATATCCACAGCCAATCCTGTGCTGCTCTGCGGATCAGTTCATGAAAAAATTAACATCCTTTGTCACTGTTTGGTACAACCAAGTTTCTACTTTTACAAGGACAAGCAACAGCATGTTGGTCCCTAGCTGGGAAGATCATTTGCTGTTAGCTGATAATTAACTTGGCCCACTGAGGCAACCATTTGCTTCAAAAACTTTCCCCTGGGTGACAAGTACACCAGTCCGCCAGCTGGTCCCATCATGAGCTGCTACAAATGTCTATAAATGTCTCAACATCATTATCATTTATGAGGATGGTGAAAGTGTCACTGTTCCTTTGAATATCAACTAGCTTATGATCCATCACAAGCACCTTTCATATAAAATTGTTTTACGTGATAAATGGCGAAAACATAAAAAAATCTATAGCATTACTAACAATGGAACATGCAGAAAGACAGTGATCCCCATAGATTATGAATGGATCGTAAACTGGAGTGAATATGAAGTGTTAATAAAACTGCAAGATGTTATGATCCGGCACCAATAAAGCAAAAGTCTGTTGCGTCTCATTTATATCAGAATTTAAGAGATTACAGAGTCATATTAATTAAGTCATCCGCGCTTCCATTACACAGTAGGAGGCTGTTACACAATGAACTCTGACGCAATATTTGGCATGCGGTGGGAGCATTTTTAGTCTCAGCAGGATTAGATGTGGAAGGGAAATGTCATAACAATCAAACAGCATCCAACCCTTTTTAAACATTTGCAGAAAATACATAAATGTTTTCATCCAAAACTACATTAAAATGTGCATATTTGGAATACATTTTACCTGCCCATTTCCACAGAGCCGATAGATGTTTGAGGCATTATTCAAATGACACGGTTGTAAACACACACCTCTTTCTGCAACACCGTTTATCAGATCCGCATAAATTGGGGAATGTACATGTTATAATTGCCATCAGAATGCTGGTAAAATCTAGCAATGATAACCTGACCTAAATAAAGGGTCAGCCAGACTCAAATCTTCCCCTAACTCTGCACAAAGCACTTATGGAGTTGACAGCTCAGGGAAATTCCTCTCTTTGTGGTTTAGCTGTTTAACTAAAAGCTCTGAGATGGAGATTAAACTGCACCTGTTGGAGAATTGTTTTGACTGAAAAGTTTCAGTATGAATCAAGTCTGACCACATGAGAGTTCCTTTTGATTTAGAGGACATTTTTTCAGTCAATAGACTGATTTAAGAATTTAAGAATATATCTTTAACTGCCTGGCATTTCTTATCGTTGCTAAAAATGAATAAATCTGTGGAAAAAAATAGGTGAAAGTCTGCAGTATGTCACACCATTGTAGTTTTCAAAACAGACCCTTCAACAGATACTAAACAAAGCCTTATGACAAAGTCACAGAAACAAAAACCTGAAAAGTAAATGAGGTCTGCAACCTTTATGAGAGAAATAGTTTTTCATTAAAAATGTGCATAGCCAATCACCTTTTGCCAAGACACCACATCTGATGCGGAAAAGTTTTTTTTGTCAGTCTAATAAGTACTTAATAAGTACTTAAATGAATGGCTTTATGATGCATGTAGCATGCGTCATAAAGGCTCTGAGAAGCGCTGTCAAATACAGCGGCGTGACAAATTATATGACTGCAAATTAAATGTGACAATCGTTAAGGTCCTGGAACCCCAAAATATCAGAGTCAGTTATTCAACATTTAATTCTGTCAGGATGCCTCATTATATCTTGAGTTTGTTTGCTCAAATACAGATAATTAATCCCAAAAATTCAGTCTGACAAGCCTACAGCTGTCACTGTTGACATAAATGACGATGCGACCAAAATCTCAATTTACTTCTCACTGTTGAGTAATCTGCTGAATACTCATTATGTAGGAAGTGATGAATGAGTGAGTGAACGCAGCCTCACTAACCACCTGGTGAAATCTTAACAACCATGCCAAACATCTTAGCAACCACTTAGCAACCTCTTCACTCAGTAATGCTGCATCCTTCAGAGTATGAAGTACCACCTGGACATCGTTGTAAAAGTCAATCTAACAACCACAGTTCTGTTCAGCTCGAATCTTTCCTCTGAAAATATATTGTTTTTTAACTCATGCCTCTTGTAGTGGCTGCTTTGGGTCATGCACTTCCCTAATGATGACAAATGAGGGTCAAACACCTGGGAGTTGTAATTCCATGGCTGCTAGTATTTATTGTCAATTTGAGAGTAGACAGGAGTCATATGATGTATCCTGATTTTTTTTGTTCTGTTTTGTTTTGTTTTGTTTTAACCTTGACCACTATATAATCCCTGTTAAATTCTCTGTAAATATCCTAATTTGTATGATTAATTTCCTTCAGATTTTTAAGCGTAAAACCAGATTAATCAATCAACATGGGAACAGAGCTCCCCTGTGCTCTATGACTGAAGTATTTTGGACAAAGGAAGATAATTAAAAATCCTCTAACCCCTTTACGTGATATATAATGGAGGATGGAGGCTGTGCAGCCTTTTTTGTGTAAGTAGAACTTTTGATTCAAGGAAACTCCTTAAACTACATCCTTTCACACCCACACAATGGCCCCCTTTTCTTAAACTTTGCCCTCGAAGAGTAGGGAGGAAATTATACGTTTGTCTTTGTGTGCTATGCGTGTATGAGCACTCCCTTACATCTAACAATCATCTTCATGCGTGGCTTTCTTTGTATCCACAAATGAAATAAAATCATCTCAGGGCTGTTAAGGTTAACAAGATCTCCTCTCAACAGAAAAAAGTATCCATGGGAATCTTAGCATGTTAGGGAGGCCTTTTTCCCTTCCTCTCATCTGCTCTCCCCCGCTGCACCCATGGACCAATGCAATTGTTTATTTTCTCCTATTGAGGCTGCTCCATTCACTGGCTCTCACATTTACACTGCTCAATTGGAGTGAGACAGCATTTATTCGAGGAGAGGAATGCAGCGTTCCACTGACAGGGCAGCAAGAATGCAGCAGAAATAATTAAAAACTTTTTTCAAGGAGAAGGTACAGTTGAGCATGAGGGTGAATAACGTCAAGCCCAACAATGAACACTGACCGGAGTGCCTGCCGCATTAAGTGTGTCCACGCATCACTTTGAGACTACAAAGTACAGGAGTTCTGAATAACACACAATGCCAGAAAGTGGAACCAGTATCCCATGGGGAACTCATTCGTTGGCAGGGTTTTCTTAACTGACAATTGCACATGAACAATGAGGTGTTATTTTGTTAAATGTTTTCAGCCCTCAGCAAAACCACAATGAGCCGAACAACAAAGTTCTGCTCTCCTGAGATCTGCTCAGTGTTGAGATCGTACAAAGGTTGTTTCTGCTATATCATTTCTGGAATCACTTACAAACAGCTGAGAATCTGATAGCAGTATCAGAGGAAATAACTGCTTTCTGTAGACTTACACACATCATTTTCTGCAACACCGCACAGAGTGAAAATGCAACAGCATCTATCTGAATTGGTTAACGTTTTGCTGGGCCTCTGAGGTTTCAGATTCCTGGCAGAGAGTTACCACAAAAAGGAGGAAACGCAAGAGCAGGTCGAACATTATCCCTCTTAGGGAAACAGTATCACGATGCCCATTCATTAAAACTGCGGTGATAATAATTTAAACACACGACAGAGCTGGTGATCAAGACTTTAAACAGACGGAATTGTATTTTCATATAACTCTGACCACATATTTTAATTTGTTCAAAAGAACTTATGGAAGCGTACTGTTTTGCACAATTGAGACATTTGTCACAGTTTTACTGACACGCAGATGAGAAAAGAAGCAAACAGGAAGCTGATTCGTAAGATCAGTACAATATGAAAGATCGATCATCTTCATATAAATTAAAATATTTTTTGTGAATTGTGAATAGACTTTGAAACACCAAACTGAATTTCCTCAGCCAATAACATGCCTAGGAATTTCCAGTATAATGTAGGATCCAAAAGGACAATAAGAAAACTGTCTCTTGAAGAAGAAGAGGAAGAGGAAAAGACAGTTGACATTTGTTAAAAAACCACATCACTCTGACTTCAGGCTGAAGGTCACTACATGGAAAAAACAAATAAATCTTACCTGCCCCCTGCTGGTCTAATACTTGCAATACACAATGAAACAAGAAACCCTTTCGGTGGCAGGCCACACGAAGAGAGGCGGACTGAGAATCTGAACTTCATAATGACTTATAATGACAATATTGATAGCATGTTCAGGTGGACATGTGTGTAATTGATGAGTACACAAAGGGATGAGATGACACGAAAAAACTTCCTAAGAGGGAACTCCACAACAAAAATACAATAAACTTCTGAGTTGGGACCTTTAGGTGAAACAGATTGATCTTGCTTGTGGTCAGTCTGCTGACCCCATATAGTCCATCAACTGTCAATAATCATGTAATTATCAAATCAATGACTGTCTGGTTGAATGAGAAAAAGCACAGAGGAGAAGTTATCTCTGTCAAACAAAGGAAGACAGCTCTGAGTGGCAGAGGAAGAGAGTTGAAATAGGATCTCTTTTTTCTTTTCTGTGGTTTACACTCATGGTATCAAGGGGCTGTTTGTTGCCATGCTTAGACCTTCTACACAGTTCACTGTTCAGCAGTCGCGTTTCATCGCTTCTCGGTGATCTGTCAGAATGGAAACCCAAACTCCGGATTATTACTACTTTGAGACACAAAACACCACCGACTTTTCATTTGATAATGAGGGTTGTTCCATTACAAGCTTCCATGGCTCCCACATTTTCCTACCCCTGATATATTATCTTATATTTTTCACAGGCTTTTGGGGCAATATCTTTGTAATCTCAGTGGTGCTGACCAAAGGAAAAAGAAGTGGTCGTCTGGTGGACACCTTTGTTGTCAACTTGGCTCTGGCTGACCTAATTTTTGTCGTCACGCTGCCACTTTGGGCCATCTCTGCCAGCCAGGACAACATCTGGGACTTTGGACTGGCAAGTGATTTACTTTGCAGGCTGAGCAGCTACGTTATTTCGGTGAATCGCTTTTCCAACATCTTTTTTCTGACCTGCATGAGCATCGATCGGTACCTGGCCATAGTGAAAATGATGGATTCAAAGTACCTCAGGAGCAGTGGGTGCATCCGTGCCACTTGTGTTATTCTCTGGTCAGTCTCCCTGGTGCTTGGTGTCCCGTCTCTTATCTACCGAAAAGTGGATGACAATAAGTACTGTACAGAAAATACCAGCTCTGCTTTTTTTCTTGGCATGAGTCTGATGATGGTGCTGCTCACCTTTGTTTTCCCGGTATTAATCATCATACTCTGCTATGGCACCATCATTATGCACCTCAACAAGCACTGTTCTGCTGCTGGAAATCCTCGAGCCAATGCTCGTCGCAGACACTCTCTCAAAATGGTCCTCTGCATCATAGTGGTTTTTGTGGTGTCCTGGCTCCCTTACAACATTTTCAAATCCATTACAATAATGTCAAAGCTTTCCAAAGCTGATCTCAGTTGTGATGTTTCATCTTTGCAATATAATGGGCTCCGCATCTCCTGCTGCTTAGCCTTCCTCAACAGCTGCATGAATCCAGTCATCTACTTTTTCTTGGATCATCACTTCAGACGGCAGGCTGGGGCTCTGTACCAGGGTTGTGCTGGAAAACAAAAACTGCTGCAGGGTTTCAATTCTTCAGCTTCGTTCACCAACGGCGGCACAACCGAGAGCTATGCAACAAGTGGTGGGCGAACTCACCTCAAGATGTTGCAGTAGGAAGACAGGGCAGAGAACAGGGTAAGAATATTTTTATTCTGTATTTTTGGAAGCTTTGTGGTGGTTTGCTGTGCTCTCCTTTCTAATGAAGGATTTGTGCTCATTTCCCTCAAGGCATGGCCTCAAAGAGACATAACGGGAGAAGATCTGAGGAGCTTGATTTGTACATTTTTGTTTAAAACAGATTCTGTATTTAGGTAGGAAAATGTTGTTAGTAATTTTGAAAAGTGTATGCCATTTTATGTTGCATATAGTGAGCAATGTTTATTAGTCAGCATATATTTTTTCTTTTTGTATTTTATGTTGCAGTAACAGCATTTAACATTTGTACGATAACTGATGAGGAGCATTTTAAGTAAGATTAAGTCCTATTTGATTAAGTGGACATTTTAATTTTTTTATGAATAAGTATTGTAATTTTTTAGCTAAATGTCTAAATGAATTTGTATTTCATACATAATAAAAACAAGAAAAGATAATTTTGTGTATCAAAAGTTTTCTATCTCTAAACATATCCATACATATATTATCGTAAAGGCAACCAAACCAAAACTGTTTATTAGAGATCGTTTTAAACCAAACATGTAAGATCTCACTTTTGTGAATTAACTGTGTAATAAAAATACAACAGAGGTATTGATTAAAGTATAAATCAACAGTATAAATTTAATTTGAGGCTTTCAATAAGAATCACAACATAGAAGTGAATCTATAAAGGAAATATTTGAAACTTTTACCAATGATGCACAAACCAAGAAACTGTTAAGCATGAATACAAAAATCTGTACATTGTGCATACGGTTTTTAGACATATTTCCTTCTAGAATGATACTCTAAATTACATTACATTTATTTAGTCAAAAAAGCGTTGGTGTTGTTTGTTTTTCCAAGTGTAAAAGTGCAATAGGTGAAAAAATATTTCCCTAGAAAACTGGTGTCTTTTGATGAATAGGAATGATGATTATAATTGCACAAAATCATCTTTGGAAAATAGACAGTGTACAATGTTTGTACAATGTCAAATATTTATTTTGTTTGGCAAAACACAGACAAGCGGTATTTGTCTCTTGAGCTCCTCAATACTTGACCTCACCCTGTGGTTTTTTGTCTTTTAAGTCTTTCTGTGGCAGTTTCCCACAGTGCACTTCATGCACAGCTCGACTAATACTGATTGCAATCAAGGCATCAGAACACCAGCGTTAAAGTGTAAAACACCAATCTAAACATTAAACCTACCATTATGCTGGCATTTGTATTGCTTTGGAAATAGAATTAAACAAAAAAGAAAGTTGGACACTAACAAGGATATAAATTAAATGCAACCTCAGTAAAAGACTGTAGCAGGGGAAAAAGGGTTCTTTTCTTTCTTAATTTTTGTCTTCTTTTGATGGAGAGATCATTCAAATGAGGAACTTGTGATTAGTTCTGCTAGTTGCACCTGTGACAAGTGGCTCACTGATATTTAAGGTCTGAAAAAAACATTCGTAGAAAAATAATCTGAAGCTTTAAGGCCAGGCATGGCTGTTACAGTGAGCCATTTTTCGTCTTTGATGTCTCCAGAGAGGAAGTGTAGATCACTGGTCTAGAAATGTGTTTCTCACATGATCATGATGTATAGCCTGTCATGTATACAATGCTTCCCACACTGCTGAAATGTATTTCTCAGAATCTAAAACCATTTGTGTGATCATAACGGATATGATTGGTACCTGAAAGTTCAAATGTTCATCTATGCCCACTTGTCTTTCTTTTCTAGGTATACTATTAGTCAGACAGTTTTGAACCTTAGAAAACCAAGGTCGATGCCAGGCTGTGTGCTGCAGTGCGGGAACTTTTTTAACAGCCCAGTCAGAGACATTCTGAACTGATCAACATTTTAAATTGTACTTTTTATACTGTTCTTTCACTGACAAGGACCACATCATTTTTTTGATAAGTGCGTTTCTGTTTATACTTCTTTGCGTACTTCCAGGTATTTTTAGTCTCTGTTGAGCAACCCTTCACCTAAAACAAGTACATTAGTATCATTCAGGCTGACATCCATACAGGCCTTACAAACGGTATACATTTTTAGTTGTTTGCTGCTTATAAACCTCTTTAGAAAAGCACAGCTGTCCAGTTATGTGCTCTTTATTTTACAACTATAAATAAAATCAGCATTACTGATATAAATGTTAGGGCCTGCTACTGCTGCTCTGATGTTTAAGGGTTGCAAAAAGCACAATGTTCATGTTTCTTTCACAGAAATGGATTATATATAAATTCCTGTTGATTACATATTGTTTTTATGTCACATTTTGAGGTAAGTTATGAGGTAAGGAGGTCTTGGCAATCGTTTTTCTTTAATGCTGATCTGATTGCTGAGAGTCTGGTGTGCAGTTAATGTAGCTAAAAAGGGTTCTATGACAAAGCCACTTCAAAATAGACAGACAGCGTTGAACCAGTTTTCTGGTTGCGCAAGAAAAGTGCTCACTTCTCTAGGGTCTGCCGTGGGAAAAAAAAGGTTTTCAAACAGCGGCAGAAGAGGAACATATGACAAATTGTATTGTATAGTTTTTGACACCACTGAAACAAAGGCACTGAGTATTCTTTAAAAATTAAATTAATAGCTAGTATCCAGCTGTTTGTAGAACGTTGAGAGGCAGCAGTTTAAAGTAAAGCATCTATGAACTGTGTTATCAGTCTCTCACATCATTATGGAGGACAGTTGACTGACTCAAATTTCCAATCCTGGCTTTCAGACAGGTTACCTTACTTTGAACTGAAGTTCCCACATTCAGAGTATCAAAATCAGTCAGAACCACCTCCTCTCCGTCACCATGCCAGCTTGCATGAGGTGGTATGAAAAATCATAATGAACTGGTTTACTAAACTAGGCCCCCATGTAAAGTCAATTCATTCGGCCAGATAGAGACAATCTTTGCTTTTAAGTCATATGTGATACTTTGAATTCATTACGTGAATTCATTAAGTAAACTTTTAAGGTTTTTTACACTTTCAAAGTTTAAAGCTTATGGCTTAAAGCTATTCAGTCAGCGATTTAAAGCCATTATTTTAAACTGTATCAAGACATCCAGACTGGTGTTACATGGGACCAGATATTATTTGCTGACTGTTTGTAGAAAAAACACAATAACCCCTTTTCTCTGCATTACCCTCAACTTTCTGATTACAGTATATGCAAAATCTCACACATCTCCATAATGTCAATTCTAAACACTTTTCAACAGCAATCACATATTGCTTAATTGTATTTAACATCAGAGAAGTTGAAGTGCATGTGTGTGTGCATGGCCAGCTTGTTATTTTGGTGTGCGGGCATACGCAAAATGAAACGGTAGACCTTGGCACTCGAGTGTTATGAAACTTTGCTGACGCTTTTGCCATTAGTCTCTGTGCATGTTAATGATGAGACCATGAACTTGTAAGGTTCTCACAGTATTATACTTCACTGTGGTCGTGAACTTCTTTGAAATAGAATGTGAACTTACAAAATCAGTCATGCTTTTTGAACTTGTCCTGAACTTGCCAAAAAGGACACTCCAAGTGAAGCAAACAAGTTGAACAAGTGAAAAGCATTTTTAAACGGTCAAGGAAATATTGAATATTGAAATACTGTTGAACTTGAATTTCAACTTGAAACTTTTTTCATGTTGTTTTTCTCTTTTCTGTTGGGTAATTTTCTCGCACAGGAGTGGTATGACATGGCTGTGTCACTGAGATTGGCATATCAGCAATTGCTGTATATTTTTGGTTGATTTTTTACAGTAAAACCACATTTGCATGTTATTCAGACCATGCAAGTGCTGCAGCTCTCAAATAAAACTTGTGGCTTTTCTCTTCCTATCAACTCATACTCAAGTCTGTACAAGCAAGCCTTGATGTGTACATTCTTGGCTAAGAAAATTAGGTTCTGTATTCCTGTGAGCAAACCTGATGCCTGCCATGTTTGTTGCATTGTTTTTTTAATTCTGCCAGTAGAATGGAAAATACTTTCATGTCTTTGAACTATAAAACAGAAATGGAAACTTTTGTTTCGGTAAGACCTGTTCTCTTTTCTGAGGGGAAAAACTTACAGTGGCTACTAATTTATTCACCACAAACAAAATGAGATAAATAGAAAACAAAAGCAAAAGTATTTTCTAAATAACGTGGCGGATTAATGACGTGTGTCCAAGAAAAACGAAGAATATACCGATCAAGCAACAAAAGACAAAAACAAGTCTTCTCAGAGATTCCCTGTTCATCTGTTTGTTGTCATGTTCAAAAGTAAAATAGAGCCATCAACCAGTCAAAGGCTATACATGTTTCCTATGACAAAACTATTCTTGATAAATCTTTTTTTGTAAGTTTTGGAACCATTATCAGTTCCTCTTTCTTCACATCACAAACATAGAGAGCACAAGGTCCTGATACACAGAATCAGTACCATTTTCTTCAACATATTCAGATCTAATTTTTGAAGAGGGTGTGTCTGCTCGGGCATGTAAATATATTTTGTTCAGTCTCGTGAAGATCTTACCACTTTGCCAACAAGTCTAATGTTGGCAAATGTAGCAAAACTTGCTCACCGAGCTAGTTGCCCGATTATGCCGTTTCTTCCTTCAGTCAGACAGAATATTCACAGGCTCAGGTGACTCAGACTTCTCCACCACACTACAAAGCATATTTGGCTGGCTTGTGACATAATCTGAATAAATCAACAAAACAGGGTGAAAACACAGTTCAAATCAGATAGAAATGGAAAGAAAAAACTAAGCTCCTGTTTATTTCTGCTATGACCCAGAAGTACAAGGGTGTTGAGCTGCTGTAAGTTGTATTTTACCACGGATTGTGCATATTAACTGAGACCTGGCTCTTTTACTATTTTTGGGCAAAGCTGCAAGAGACAATTCTTGAGAGATTAATTTAGATTGTAAACCATGTGGCAAAATCAGACAACTGCAGAAAACTTTCAGTGAGTTTGGGAAAAGTTAATCTAGTTTATACAATGAGTTTAG